GATTCAGAAATCAGGGTTTTCCTCTGGAGGCAATATTTGGTTCAAGTGGACGGGAAAAAGTGGGGGGGATACATAGGTAGAAGCTTAGAAATATTCTAGTTGTTTTTTTATTCAGTGTTTTCTCCCGCCCACAATTATTCCTATGTGACATTTCAAGGACAAACTTAAGTAATGCGCTTTGCACCTCACAAATGTGATAGTTGAATTTTTCTCCAGGACGTGAAAGATCTTCGGCCAGCTTTTACACTGATTGCTAAAATAACATTCAGGGAATCGGTGACATTGTGCACAACCAAGCGGACGATGCCAAAACAGTTCTCCTCAAAGGATCCATGGTGTTCATCGACGAGGGAAAGTACATTCTCTACATGTGCTCAGTGAATGTCACCACGGTTCGTGAGCTCATCGAACGCAACCTCCACTTGTCGGATATGCAACGACACGATGGAACTCGCGATGTGATCATGTTGAATCAGAGTCGTATGAGTCAGGTCGAGTTGAAGTGCGTTTTTTTGTAGTTTGTAGTGTAAAGCGAGTTTTTTTTGCAGTCGAACTTTGGAAGAGACTACTAAGAAGTTGAAGAAAATGGCTCAAGAATTGGAGATTGAGAAACAGAAAACCGACGAGCTGCTCTGCGAATTGATGCCAGCCTCTGTTGCGGATAGTTTGAGAAGTGGGAAGGCAATGGATGCAAGTTAGTTTATTTTTTATCATTCGCTATGGTTTGATCTTATGCTAATTTTCCAATTTTTCCAAAAATTTGGCTCCTGTGCGAAATAGCACTTGAGATAAAGCACAGGAGTCAGATAGCACTTGAGACAAGCAGCGCTCTACAGTAGCTTGCAAGCTGTGCTCTGTGGATACTGCTGCTTTGAACCTGTATATCTTGGTTCCTGTTGAACGTACAAAAAAACTGTTAACTGAAAAGTTGTTCAATTTTTAATTTTAGACAACTTTTTAGTTAACAACTTTTTGATAGCTAAAACCGCTAGTGAGTTAGAGCACTTTTACTACAGTAACTTGCGCAGCCTGCTGTGCTCTAGGGAAACTACTTCTTTCAAGCTGTATATCTCGGTTTTTGTTAAAGATATGGAAAAAGTGTTAACTGAAAAGTTGCTCAGTTTTTGATTTTGAACAACTTTTTAGTTGACAACTTTTTGATATCTTCACTACCAGCTGAGATAAACTGACTTGAACAGGCTAGGGTCCAAAACTCAAGGCTAGGGCCTAAAAATTCAAGACTTTGCTCTAAAACGAAGTCACAAAGGGTGAAAACAGTTTTCCAGGCTAGCCCCTTCTAAGTTAAGTTGTTTCTATGCCAAATTTCCAGAAGTTTCGCTTTAAAATAATCACTTTTATTCATGTAAATATATTTAATTCATTGATGATGATGATGGTTCATGAAAGAGGTAGAATATAATTGAATTGGTGCTTTTGGGCTTACAAAGAAGACGTTACATGTTTTTTGAAAACTGAGATTCTTAAGAGAGAAAAAAGTGAGTGAGAGATTTAGAGGTAGAGACAAATTTGAAAAAGATCACAAAAAGTCGCCCGTTTTGATTCCCTTGGCACGATTCGGGAAGTAGATTGCAAAGATTTCAAAGAGTTGAGAGTGGGTGACACTTGGCTTCACCATCAGAAGTGCTTCACAGCTGCGACGGAAGTCAACGTACTCCAGGTAGAAGACGATGGTGGTGATGATGATCTGGAAATTTGTAGAGTCTCGAGGTGTATACCAGCGCGCAAGAAGAAAAAATATCTACGCCCTCTGCCACAGTTTCTTACGATGTACCCTGTGGCGCAGTGGCTAGCGCTCTTGTTTTCAAAACTCACGGCGGGGGTTCGACCCCCACTGGTGGCAATTTGTTTTTTCTTTTTCTCTGCTCCTCCCTTTGACTCACCACTTCACATGCATCCTTGAATTCCTGTGGATCAACACAGGTTCTGAGCAATGCGGCAATATCATCAGCCAACAACACATTCTCCTTCAACATCTTCACCATCGGATTCAGTCGCTCGTCCCAGTCACCGTACAGACACTCGACACGTTTTCCAACCATCTTTGCCCATTTCTCGGCGATTCCCTGGATCAAACGATCGAAAATCGAGTGCGGCGGCAGCACATTTCCCTTGTAGCACTTCCCGCAACGGGTTACGGTAGTGTCATCAGATGCCTCCAGCGAGTCAGCAAAAAGATTGTCGGCCGAGCAAAACTGTTTACAGTGCGAGCACTCCATTTGATGAAGACGTGCCAGCCCGAGCTCTTGGAGCTCATGTTCCATGACGGTGCGAAGAGACTTGATGTCGAAACGATCCGAAGTCGTCGTCGTCGTCTTCGCCACAATCATATTCTGTGGAGGAGATGAAGCGGTAATCTTGGATCCATCTTGGATGGTCGTTGGAAGACCCAACATTGAGGCGATTTGTTGATAAAAATGATCAGTTGATGGCCAATGAGCATCCCAGTCGAGATGAAGATGACGTGGAAGGGAGCCCCTCTTCTTTTGTTGTTGCTTTTTGACGACGGGGACCACGGCAAGAGTCGAGTCGGTTGCAGTGATGTATTGTTGGATCAGTCTTTGGACGTCACCACGTTTTCTGCAAAGATTATGGAGTTTTGGAATTTCGTGTTGGGATTGGGGATCAGAAGGGCAGAGGGATTAGTGGATTTGTAGTTACTAGGGTCACATGATTTTATAACGTCATAGCTAGCCCGAAAACTCCGGAAATTATGATTTTCCCGGGAAATTTTCCGTGAAAAAATATTCGGAAAAATCGGAAAATTCGGGAAAAAAGTCCCGGAATTCGCTTCAAAACAGGAATGAATTTGACAATTTTTCCCGACATTTCCGGAATTTTACCGGAATTTCTCCGGATTTTTTCCGGAATTTTTCTACCAATTTTCCCGATTTTTCCGGCATTTTTCCCGACTTTTCCGGTATTTTTCCCAATTTTTTCGGAATTTTTCCACTATTGTACCCGATTTTCCCATAATTTTCCCGGAATTTCTATGGAGTTTTTCCCGACTTTTCCGTCATTGTTTTCTGGAAGATTTTCCGAAACAAAATCTGAAAACCCGGAAAATCAAAATTTCAGTTTTCCAATTCTGAGCAAGCCCCAGCCCAAACCGGATATTAAAAAAAGTGATCAACTGGAATCTTGAACTTCAAATACCCTCCAATCCCCTTCTTCTAATCTTCTCCTGCCATTTTCCTATTTTAGGTTTTCCTAATACCCTCTTATACACTCCTAATCCTCAAGGTGCACTCTCTCTCCCCTATCCAATCTGTCGTCGTAAACTAGAAAAGGATGATGATGAAGAGGCCGTGGAGGGGAAGGGGACCTAATTATAAATATATATGCAATCATGTGGTATGTGACACACACATGACATACACATGAGCATACATTGGATAATAAAGGCAGTTTTCATTCGAACTAGAACTTTGTGATATGTTTTCGAGCTGGTCAAAGATTACGGGGGGTATTCAGGTGGAAGTTTCGGTAATGAGAAATTGTGGTGCCAGTCAGTGGGAGCAGGTGAAACGATTATCACTCGTGTTAGGTACGGGGCAAACCAGTGAGTATTACTCATAGCTGTATACTAGGCGAGGTTGAACGGTGTGTCTTACTGTATATATTGCTTGGGAGCTTTGATAGGGGGAAACTTATAACTAGAGAGTTGCTCAGCATCAAATTTTGAGCAATTCACTAGTTGATCACTTTTTTATAGCTTCACTGCGAATCGAGATATTTAGGCTTAAGTACTACGCTGCCTAGTCAGGTGGCGCGATAAGGCAGGAGGAGCTGTCCCGTACCGTATATCTTGCTTGGAAGTCACGATAGGAAAAAACTTACAACTAGAGAATTGCTTAGTGTTGAATTCTACGCAAATTACTAGTTGACAATTTTTCTATAGCTCCACTGCGAAGCGAGATATGGAAGCTCAAACATGACACCACCATGCGCTTACGCGGGGAGTACTTGTCACTGAACGCGGTGTATCTCTGCGACAGTTGGAGATAAAGAAAATAATATAATTAAAGAATTGCTCAGCGTTAAATTTTGAGCAAGTTACTAGTTGATTATTTTCTTGTATCTCTTTTGCTAATCGAGATATGGAAGCTTAAACATGGCGCCAACATGATGTAGCCCTTGCGCGGAGAGTACTTGTCACTGAACGCGGTGTATCTCCAATACGGTTAGAGGTAGAGCAAAAATTTTAACTAACAAAATGGTCAGCGTTAAATTCTGCGCAAGTTACTTGTTGACAACTTTTTCATAGCTTTACTGGGAAACGAGATATGTAAGCTCAAACATGACGCCGGCTACGGTGTACCCCTTGCGTGCTGACTCTCACAGTTACCACTGGAATTTTTGAATTTATCGGTTTCTAGCCACGCCCCTAAACCCCCTAAACCCCAAAAACCACCCCAAAATACCTCTTAACAATCACTCGATCAGTCTCACAGAGATGCTGAATCAACCAATGACATCTGGCGGTGTCCTCACTGTCCTGTTGCTGTTCTTGTACCATCATCATCATTATTGTTTCGTGGAGGTGTCTTGATTAGATATGGGAGGGAAGATTTTGGAATAAATATAGGAGGAATTGACTAGAAATAATGTAAAATAACCCGGAGAAAGAAGAAAGGAGAGCGAGCGACCACCTCTCCGCCAGCAACCTCTTCTTCTGGCGGGCCGACCTCTCGCGCGCGCGCGCACGGGCGGTGGGGCGGTCTTTCTTGCACTCTCCTCACTTCCTGTACTCTGTTGTTTTGGTGAAGAGACACCCAAGACGAAAGAGTGTTTGAAATCGAGAGGCACAGACAGAATGGTGAGGATGCGCCCGGGGGAGAGTGCAGACACATGTTTATTGATCTTAGTGGACTCCTATAGGACAGCGGGATGGTTTGAATGTAGTTTGGTCTTGTTTTTGAATAATAACAAGAGTAGGTCAAAAAAATTTTTTGGGAAACGAAAAAAAAATAAATTTTAAAATGGCAGGTCTACAAAAAAACCAAAAATTTGAAAAAAAATTGTGTAGTTCGTACCTTTTGTACCAGAAAAAAACATAATGAAGCAATAACTGAAATTCTGAAAAAATTGAGATTCTAGGGTAGATTCTGATAGTTCTGACTACAGAAAAATGCTCCAAACCTAAAAATGATGGAGAAAAGGTAGATACTCAAGTGCTATATCTCAGGTGCTATGGGGGTGATCAAGCGCTATCTATTGTCTCATGTGCTATTTCAGCTCTTGTACTGTGGATCAAGTGCTATTTCGCCATTTTTTTTTGGCCCTGGGTGCTATGATATTTTTTAGCACGTGAGACAATAGTCATAGCACATGAGACAGGTGAAAATAGCACTTGATCTATAGCACAAGAGTCAAGTTTTGGAAAATTGCTACATAGCACAAGATCACACCATAGCAGTTGAGATATAGCACAAGAATCTAGTAGCACTTGAGCACCTGATTCTAGACACAGTACCATCCTCAAGACACGATACCATCCCATAGCAGAAGAGCCAAATATAGCAGTTGATCACACCTGTATCAGCTGAGATGAGGAGACTATTGTGCTATATCTCAGGTGCTATGGGGTGATCAAGTGCTATTTTGTCTCTTGTGCTATGGATTAAGTGCTATTTTGCCATTTTTTGGCCCTGATGCTAAATATGATATTTTAATGCACACGAGACAATAGTCATAGCACTTGAGACAGGTGAAAATAGCACTTGATCTGTAGCAAAAAGGCTAAATTTCGGAAAACTGGTTAATAGCACAAGATCACACCATAGCAGTTGAGAAATAGCACAAGAGTCTCATACACTGCGGTCAATAAAGACAGGACACCCCTAAATTTTTGGTTTTCTGGCGAAATCGAAATAGTTACTAAAAAACTGTGAGTGCAGTTCGATTTAGAATACAGAGTAACCCCCGGAGACAAGTGTTCATGATCCTACCCGTTTTTATACTCAACTGCTATTGTGGTGATCAACTGCTATTTTGTAACTGCTAGTGTCTCAACTGCTATATTTGGCTCTTCTGCTAAGGAGACGATAGATATAGCAGCTGAGACATCAAAAGTGACAAAAATAGAGTGATCCATAGCAGATGAGCCAATTATAGCATTGTACACTAGCAGTTACTCATAGCAGTTGTCTCCCCTAGCAGTCAATATCTACCTAGAACCCCCCATTTCCTGATAATCGCGATGCCTCTCTCTCACGACTCGCATTTACAATATCTGTCCCATGACCCCTACAATGTCCCTACCACGCCTCATCTCGTTTATAACTAGTGATAGAAGACCCTCTCCCCACCCCGTGATTAACCATTTTCTTAATTGCTAAATTTAAATGTTTGCAAATGTCGTGTGTCAAATGGAAAACGAAGTTAAATATCATAGCATAAAATCCTTTGCACCCCCACTCAATTGGCTGGTATTCACATGTATTTGTTTTACTTGTGGTGATAGATGAAAAAGACTTGTTCTTATGCTAACGATC